GTCGACTACGTGGGAGTCCAGCGACATAGCCATTACGCTAACTGCTGGTTCCCATTAGTCCTACTTTTGAACGTACCTTAGGAATTGGGTGTTCCATTTGGATTATTTAGAAACATTTTGTATTTTACTGCTTATTACTGGCTTAATATGATTCTTAATGTGCTCTGAGTTTTCCTTTTCTTGTGAAATAGACCTAATTATTTTCTCCTCTTAGAGTGAGCAGGAGAAACAGGAGCGTCTAGAAACCCAGAGGGAGAAGCAGAAGGAACTGATACTGCAACTCAAGACCCAGCTAGATGACCTGGAAACGTTTGCGTATCAAGAGGGCAGTTATGACTCTCTGCCACAGTCTGTGGTCTTGGAGAGACAGCGGGTGAGTACACCTTAGCGGGACCTCCACCACTGCCCAAGGTTAACTTGACCCTTCCAGCATTCACAAGACATCCTCTCCCTTAGCCTTGCTGAGAATACCCAAATCAAAGGGAAATGTTGGGACCAGCAGTTAGCGAAATGGCTAGGTCACTGGACTCCCATATAGTCGACCACGGTTCGCGTCCCGGCCCCAGTGGCTTAAAACTCACGCCAGGCACATGTGTGTTCATGCCCAAGATCCCGAGAGGAGAGTGAAGGAGAAGGGGTTGCGGCGTGGCCATTCCCCGGGGGGTGATTTCTCGCTTTCTGTCTCTCTGTCTCTGTCTGGCGAGTGCATGCGCCCTATAGCAAAAACCGCCAGAGAAAAAAAAGGAAATGTTATCATTACGTGGAACCATTGTTTATAACATATGGAAAACACAGGTCCTAAAGATGTTATTTTATAGCAATTGAGAGCTCTTTATTTTTTTTCTTCTGAGAGTTTTATTTTTTTAACGGAGATTTTTTGCTATAGGGCACATGTGCTTGCCAGAGAGACAGAAAGTGAGAAAGCACTCCCCTAGGGGGGGGTGACCATTACCACAGTCTCTTCTCCATTCTCCTCTTGAGATTTTGGGCACACATGCACACATGCCCAGTGTAAGTTGTAAGCTGCCAGTTCTGGGACTCAAACTGGTCAAGTTCAACAATTAACCATTATTCCATCTGCTGGTCCCACGAGTTCTTCTTTTTTGGTGTTGTTTATAATAGTGGTAGTGGGACCAGCAGTTGGCATAATGGCTATGTTGCTGGACTCCCATGTAGTCAACCACAGTTCAAGTCCCAGACCCCGTGGCTCAAACTCATGCCAGGAACGTGTGCGCATGTGCCTAAGATCCGGAGAGGAGAGTGGAGGAGAAGGGATGGCAGTGTGGCCATCCCCCCTCAGGGGTTATTTCTTGCTTTGTCTTTCTGGTGAGTACACGCACCCTATAGCAAAAACCTATGCCCCCCCCCAAAAAAAAAATCAAATAATGGTAGTAACATACTAACAATTCTACTCAGGCATATCATATAATATAAACAAGCTTTTTTCTGCCATCCAGCACTAGGTGATAAATATTCCAAGAATCTAGACTGACTTAGTATTTACTATGACCAGATGGCATAATGGTTATGTCAGTGGACTCCCATGTAGTCAACTGGTTTGAGTTCTGGATTTGGTGGCTTAAAACTCACACCAGGTTCGGGGGCTAGCAAGTGGCATGGTGGGTAAAGGCGGTGGAGTCCCCCATGGCCAACCATGGTTCAAGTCTTGGACTTGGTGGCTTGCTTTCTCATTTCCTCTCTTTGATCAAACTGGAAAATAATAATGATAATAAAACAAAGTTAACAAAAATAATTCTTTAAAAAAAAAAAAAAAAAAAAACCTCACACCAGGTTCGTGTGCACGCATACCCAAAATCCCGAGAAAATGGAAGAGAAAGGATTGCGGTGTGGCCATCCCCTGAGAGGGTGATTTTTTGCTTTCTGTCTCTGGCGAGCATGGGTGTCCTCTAGTGAAAATCTCTCTAAAAATAATCACACACTGTATTTACTTAAGTAAGACCTGGGTACACAGGTAAATCTGCTGGAAGAGATACAACTACAGCCTACCCTTCCAGTTTGTCTGTCCCTGCGATGTGGTTATTCTCTTGCTAGGTTGGAGGTAACATTAGCTGGGTTTCAAATTATTCTCATGATGTCATTGGGATTTTTTGGGCTGTTATGTACCTTAATGTTTTATAGAGCTTTTTCTTTAGTTGCCTAGAATAGGGCAAAAAAAGATGAGGACTAAGGGCCGGCAGGTGGCATGGTGGTTAAAGGTGCTGGATTCCCACATGGCCGAATGCGGTTCAGGTCCCAGACCAGGCAGCCTGCTTTCTTGCTTTCCCTTTCTCTCTCTGTCTCTGTCTGGTCAGATTAAAAAATAATAATAATAATAACAATTGGAAATAAATAAATATCTCCTTTTTTAAAGAATTATTTTAACTATTTAGTTACTTATTTTAATTTGACTAGAGAGGAACAGAGCAAGAGAGAGAGAAGGAAAGTGAGAAAGCAAGCCACCAGGTCCAGGAGTCAAACTTGGTCAGCCATGTGGGAGTGTCCGGTGCCTTAACCACCACACCACTTGCCAGTCCCGTAAATAAATAATAATTTTTTAAAGAAAGATGAGAACTAAAAGCTAAGAAAAACCATCTTGGGACCAGCAGATGGTGCACTGGTTACGTTGTTGAATTCCCACCCAGTTGACTGGATTCCAGTCCCAGACCCGGTGACTTAAAACTCACGCTGGGCATGTATATGTGTGTGCCCAAGATTCCAAGAGGAGAATGGAGGAGAAGGTATTGTGGCGTGGCCACCCACTCCAAGGGTAATTTCTCACTTTCTGTCTCTGGTGAGTGCATGCACCCTGTACAAAAATAATTTTCTAAAAAAAGAAAAATCCATCTTTAGAAGATTTGGGGGGGCAACCAAATGTGAAGATTTTTTGATCTTCCAATCACTTTTTTTTTTTTAAAGAATGATTTTAACTTTATTTATTTATTTTAATTTTTTTTTTTGAGTGGTTTTTGCTATAGGGCACATGTACTCACCAGAAAGACAGAGAGACAGAAAGCAAGAAATCACCCCCCCCGGGGGGGGGATAGCCACGTTGCAATCCCTTCTCCTCCATTCTCCTCTTGGGATCTTGGGCACGCACACACACACGTGCCCGGCATGAGTTTAAGCCACAAGGTCCGGGACTTGAGCCATGGTTGACTACATGGGAGTCCAGCGACATAGCCATTATGCCAACTGCTGGATTTTATTTTGACCAGAGAGGGACAGAGAGAGAAAGAGAGAGGGAAAAAAATTAGAACACAAGCTTCCTGATCCGGGATTTGAACTGCAATCAGCCATGTGGGAGTCCAGCACTGTCAACCACCACTCCACCTGCCAGCCTCAAGTCTTCAATCACTTTGGATTATCCACTCTGTTCTGAGTGATCCAAAACCTTGACTGGCCTGGTAGAAAATTTACAGTGAAAAAGAAGAGCCATTTCTTTTTCTTTTCTTTTCAAGAATTATTTTATTTAACTTTATTTATTTATTTTAATTTGACCAGAGAGAGACAGAACGCGGGGTGGAGGGGATGAGAAAGCAAGCCGCTAGGTCCAGGACTTGAACTGTGGTTGGCCATGTGGGAGAACAGCATCCTTAACCACCACATCAATTGCCAGCCCCAAAAGAAGCCATTTCTATAAGGAAATGAGGGTTCTTATGACTCTGAGAGGCAGTCTGTGTCCTTACCTTGATTGGCAGCTGTGTAATTTTCTCACAATTTTGGGAGTCCATGTGTCTTTGGTAATGTTTTCCTTCTCTTTAACCTCTCCCTGAAAGCCCCAAAGAGTATGCTCATTGCTTATGGTCTTGACAGGTGATCATAGACGAGTTAATAAAGAAACTGGACATGAATCTCAATGAGGACATCAGTTCCCTGTCTACTGAAGAGCTTCGTCAGCGAGTGGATGCAGCAGTGGCTCAGATTGTCAACCCAGCCCGAGTAAAAGAACAGTTGGTTGAGCAACTGAAAACCCAGATCCGAGACCTTGAGATGTTTATCAACTTCATCCAAGGTTAGAGGAGAGGATGTGAATAGAAGGGTGGAAGAAGGTCATGATAATTATATTCTGTGTACTGATACCTAAAGGTGCCCTATTTTTAAAAAATTATTTAATTTTGGGGCCAGCATGTGGCATGGTTGTTAAAGACACTGGATTCCCACATGGCCAACCATGGTTTGAGTTCTGGACCTGGTAGCTTGCTTTCTCACTTTCCCTTTCTCTCTCTGTCTCTGTCTGGTCAAATTAAAATAATAATAGTAACAACAACAAATGAAAATAAATAAATCATTTTTAAAAAACATTTTTAATTTTATTTATTATTATTTTAAAATTTATTCTAAGGCATGCATGCTTACCAGAGACAGAGAGAAGGAAAGTGAGAAAGCAAGCTGCCAGGTCTGGGACTCAAACCATGGTCCACCATGTGGGAGTCCAGTGT